GCCCCAGCTGGCTTCTTACCTGTTGAATTTTGGGGGAGAGTCAAGCACCATTTCTTGTGTCTTTCCATGACAGGGGAACCTGTCAATCTCTCTAAAGAGGAGTGAGGGCCATGGATGGCAGAAGTAGTTTGGGTTCCCCATTTAGCCCTGTGTAGCTGGTCTCACATGTCTCTTTAGAATCAGTGGGCACTTAACTAACAGTGTGCTCAGCTTCGGGGCCTTGGGCAAAACTCCATGTCTGGAAGAGTCCATTCAACATCCTCTTGTACCTGTAGTCATCGTTAGGTCATGCCCATACCTCTTGTTCTCCTTTCCTTCACCATTAGTCCATTTTGTCATTTCTCTAGAATGTGAGTTATTCCACCATAGATTTATGGCAATAGTTTAGCAGACAAACGAAGGACCAGAAAGTCTGGCTTTAATCACTTCTTGGTGCAGATCATAGGATGGAAATTCAGAGGCAATGAAACAATATTTATACTACTTGGTTACTGGGGATGCTTCAAAATTCCATTTAATTGGAAAAATATAAAAAAATACAAAAATACATGGGATGGAAGGATGCCAACTCTATTCAAAGACCTCTGCCTGCCTACTCAATTGCCATTTGTAATACTGCTAAGAAATCTGAGCTGAAGCCCACCACTGGGATTTCATTCTGCCAGAGTGTCTGCTTACCAGGAGAAATAGTCTGCCAGTGATCCTCATGTGTGGACTGCACCATGCAGTGCCTCACTTCATTTTGGTTCTTGGATTTTTCTTTTAAAGGATTGTTTTGTAACAGCAGTTCATCAGAGTGGCAAGACATAAGCATTGAACTAAAAATCATCGATCCATTTGGCTTCCTTGTCTTTTGTTGTTGCATCATGTAGCCTCAAGGCTCATTCTCATGGACTGACACTGTATACACCATCCACAGCCCTCGTTGCATGATATAGCCTGGGCATGCTGCCAGAAGGGATCGTTCATCAAAAATGACAATAAAAAGGATAACCATGTTCACTTCTAGGTCTTCGGGGAGAGAAACATTTGGCCAGAAGTGTACTGTTCTGGTTTACGTTGCCCAAGAGAAATATTTTTCCACTTCGGCCTCATTTTTCCCCCTATAACAACCTAACACATTGTACTTGCTGCATCACTTGGATCATATTATAGTTTTATTAGTTGTTCCTCATTTCAAACCTGACCCAACACCACCTCGGTTTCTACTTGCTGAAGAGAATGAAGGCATCGACTCCTTTGTCATGACAAGAGTAAATCATTTAGATTGGTATGTTGACTGAGACAATTACATGAACTCAATCCCAGCTTTTATGTCATGGGGTCCACGCGGTGGACTTCAGTGGGTTTGGGCCATCAGCTTTCAGTCCACTTTCTGAACAGCCAATCAGGTGCCGCAATCTACCCTAACCAGGGGGCAGCCATGTGACTCAAGGCTGACTGCACAACCCTCCCCAGAATGTGAATTTTTGAGCAGAGTAATGTGGAGACCAACATGGTGAGAGATCATTCTGGCAGTGCTGGCATCCTGATCAGCGATGGCTTTTCCCCATAGCTCTGCTTCTAGCCCTGCAGTTTCCAAGGCTGGATCACTGGTCTTTCCACCTGCCTGCACACTCCTGCTTCTTTACTGTTCCTTCCCTTTGCTATAAGTTAGCTGAGATCTGTTTCTGTTGCTTGCTACTAGCAAATACTATCTGACACAGCCCCCATCTTAATGTGGCTGTGAGGTCAGAGGGCCATCAGAAGAGAACCCCTGCTCTTATCACTGCTCTTACTTGTTCCGTTGTATGAAGGCACTGGAAGCTGCTATTATAAAACACAAAATATTGGTTAGTAAAGGTTACACTTGCAGTCGTTTATTCTCGATGCTTGAATTGTCTCTCCCTTTACTTGTCAGAGACCAGCAGAACGGGACATAGGAACAGTAAGAGCTGATAGGAGAGGTTGAAAGGTCTGTAAGATTGGATTCTTCAAGATCTCAGGGATGACTGGATTGCAAAGTTCTGTGTGCCCAGAAAGAAACATGAGTTCACAAGATACCGGGGAGGAGAAATGGAGCAAAGGGGAAGCAGGATGTGACGACAGCCCTCTTGGCTGTTTGCCTGGTGGCAGCCACACACATGCACGTAGGCTGCCACAAGGGGGCACTGCTACAACTCTGAGAGGGTCTGAAAAACGCAGGAC